TCACTAATGCTCCTATAGCTGAATGAACACAAACCCCCACAGCCGCGCTCCAACATCTAGTGGAAAGCTTCCCAGAAGAGTGGAGCTCATTATAACAGCAAAGATGGGAACAAATCTGGAATGGGATGTTCAATAAGCAAATGTGAATGTGATGGTCAGGGGTGCACATACTTTTGGCTGTATCATATCTATACGGCTCGTTTCAGTAAAGCTACTCTGAACTTGAACCTCAATGTTAAAATGTCCAGTGATCATCATTTGATCAATACAGCTTTTTTTTCAGTAGCATTATGGATTTAAAACCACTGAAACCTCACCCTCCTTTTAATATCCATCCATCCATCCATTTTCCATACCACCAATCCTACATGGGGAGTGGTGCCAACCCTTCACAATGCACAACTGCACACAATTCGGTAATACCATTCAGCCTACAATGCGTGACTTTGGATGGGGGAGGAAACCGGAGTACCCGGAAGAAACCCCCAAAGCACAGGGAGAACATGCAAACTCCGCGCACGCAGAGCAGAGGCGGGATTCGAGCCCCCAACCGCTGAGATGCGAGGCAAACGTGCTAACCACTATGCCACCCTCCTTTTAATATATTAAAGTAAATTTACATTTTATTTTATATTGTTTATTGGTATGCTTGTGAAGCTTGAAATACAGGCATTTGGCTTTAAGGCAATTCTTAATACAAGTATCATCAATAACTATGCTTTTATATGTAAAAAAAAAAACAAATCACATCTGATAGAATTATGAATTTACTCGTCTCCAGCTTTGTATATTTCAGGAGTTTGCTTCTCGTCTTTCCTGTCACTTTAACGAATGCTGGTAATATTGTGTTTTAACAAATATTTCTGTTACACTTTGACGTGGCCAGTATTTGATGTTGCTGCAGTGGACTGACTGTTATGTATTGAATCCTGGACAAACTGTAGGAATTCAGGTTTAGTTCAAGAAGCTGAAATGTTCAAACCTTGTTAGCAACAGTGTCCACTGTTCAGATGAACAATGCCTGACTTCCTGACAGTCACAGGGCACAGGGTGCATTAGTTGGTGTCGGCTTGCAAACGTGTCGACGTTTCATCTGCAAACGCGGTTCAGACAAAGCAGTTAATGATGAAATTCACTTCAGGTATGCATGTAGTTTGTAAGAGACCTCAGAGAGCCCGTGTCACGAACGTTTCCAACAGGAAAGGATGCTGGCTTGTCTCGGCTGTCCTGGACTGAGTCGCACGCTCAGCTCAGGGGTGTTGCATCTGCCCAACACTTTTGCGTCTCGCGCTCCCACGATCTCCACTTCAATCAGCAGAGGAAGCCACGTGGCATTAGTGCGCTACAACAGCACGGCCCAGCAGGTATTCTTTCTCCTCTAAAACCCTTTGTGGACGTTTTTAGATTATTTAAATCATTTCAAATTCATTAATCCTATAAATGTGTACACAGCCACAGCACACAGCTAAATAGACATGAACGGAGAGGGTGTGTGTTTTAAAGCACCAGTATATTATACTCACAGTTTGGTTTGGTTTGGTATTCACTCAGGAAAAAGTCAAGAAAACAAAGTTTGGACCTTTGGCTGACCAGGACAGAATTTTCACCAACCTTTACGGGCGACATGACTGGAGGTACTGCGGACTTTCGGCCTTTTATTTGGGGGGGAAATTCTTCTTCTGTATTTACAGTACATGTAAAAGATAAGGTTCTTAGTTCTAAGTATAAAAGTATGGATGTGATATAAAGATATAAGATTGACATTGTGATAAATTATGTCACGATATATTTTTGGGTGATGTCATGGATAATGTGATGGCTTTCTTTATATATTTTTTAAATAAATTAATTTGACTTGATGCAACTTTTATGATATACAAAAATCATTTTTAATTTTTTAATCATTTCTGTTTTCTTTTTTTGGTGTTTTTTTTTTAAATTTATAAATAAAAAAAATTATTTAAATGTTTAAATATGAAAAAATTACATACATTTATTTTCATAGATATTATACATATCTTCTGTGTGTCTTTGATGAGAAGAGTGAAAATTTTTCTTATAAAAAATAAATTACTTAAATTTGTAGACATCAAAATCATATAAATCATCGACGCTGTCTGTAATGAGAGGAAAGACAATAACGCGTACCTGAACTTTTTTTTTTTTTTTTTTTAAATGCAACGCAACTGAGACTCGTGGTATGAAATTTTTGTCATCTTTATCACCTCTAATCTCAGTATTACAGGGAGAAGTGTATGTATGGTGTAAGACTGGACACTGAGATTCCCTCTTAATCTGAAAGATGAAAAGATTTGCGAAGGTTTTGCCTCCGTTTATAGGCTGAAAGGTGCATTAAGTCGAGGTGACTGGTACAAGACCAAAGAGATCTTGGAGAAGGGAGTGGACTGGATCCTCAACGAGATCAAAGTGTCGGGTCTGCGTGGTAGAGGAGGAGCTGGCTTCCCCACAGGGATGAAGTGGAGCTTCATGAACAAGCCCAGCGATGGCAGGTTGGCTGCACGTTATTTACCTGAAACACTGAATGATTGACGCTGATTTTCACTAAGCCCTGTACGAGCTTTCCTAGTGGCATCAGCATGCCTCGACTCTTCACAGCTGTCTAGGTCAGAGCACGCTGGTCTTTATTCTCTTATTCTCTTCTCTCCTCAGGCCTAAGTACCTGGTGGTGAATGCTGATGAGGGAGAACCCGGCACCTGCAAAGACCGAGAGATCATGCGCCATGACCCACACAAGCTGGTGGAGGGGTGCCTGGTTGCAGGTAGAGCCATGGGAGCGCGCGCTGCTTATATCTATATCCGTGGAGAGTTTTACAACGAGTCGTCCAATCTTCAGGTGAGATCGTTAACAGGCACGTTTCCTATTCTACGTGCAGTTGAATAGAAAAGTGTTCAAAATCCATTAAGATTTCTTGTTGTAGTTTTCGGTCTTCTAACTTTGTGTCACTTGATCTGTTGAGTCATTTATGACCTGTAATATTTGCACATTTTTAAATTACAGTGAATATTGAAAATTATTATTATTATTATTATTATTTTTTTTTTTTTTATTATTATTATTATTAAAGCAGGATGGGTATGCTTACACTGGACTGACATTGTCTGATAAATTACTGGTTCCTATCTTGATAAGTAGGTGATACCCTGGTGGGTGGGTTGGAGGGATTAATTGAGGAGACGAAAGGCAGGCGTGTGATGGAACGGAGCTGATTTTATTGTGCTTTCCTCCATGCTTTCTGCACAGCACTACCCTCAAAAAAACAGGAAAAGCATCCTCAGCTTAAACACATAAACCCACATGCGCACACACACACACACACACACACACACACACACAGTCTCAGAACAGGACGCTCTCAGACACTCTTAGATAGCTCAGTGCCAGCGTCCTCCTTCTGGCTTTTCAGCACTTACACAGCAAGACACACAGAGTATAAATCTGCCATGATCAGGTAGCAGTGCTCATTTATAAGCCTCCTCCCTTCATTCACAGCCTGCACTTGACCACGCCCTCACTGCCACAGGGTTTATAAATAGTTTGTCATGGTCACAGTTATGTACATTTCAATTTCTGATACATGCCGATGCATACGTTTGGAGAACGTAGTTTGAAATATTAAAGAGAACGTTTAAAGAAATGTTTGTGTTCATCCCTTCTCCCCAGGTTGCCATTAACGAGGCGTATGGGGCAGGGCTGATTGGAAAGAACGCCTGCGGCTCTGGCTACGACTTTGACGTGTTTGTGATGCGTGGCGCTGGGGCTTACATCTGCGGCGAGGAGACTGCTCTGATCGAGTCCATTGAGGGTAAACAGGGGAAGCCCCGTCTGAAGCCCCCTTTTCCTGCTGACGTGGGTAAGAATGAATTCTGATATGTTGTGAGGTTAACTCACTCTCACTGATCATCACCTCGATTTCGCCGCTTTTATAACAGTAGCCTAGAAGTTAGTAGCATTAATAACTCTGTGATTCTGCAGACAGTCAGTCACATGACAAACCAAAACCGACAGACTAATTTATTTAAAAAAAAAAACAAAAAACAAAAAAAAAACACCTACTCAAGTACAGATGTGTACTTTGTGTCCCACGTTCACTATCACACAGAGTATTTACTTCTTTCTCTGAATACTGGAGACGTCATTTTGAATTTTTAAATCGATACGTTTCCTATATTACGTTTTTAGACTGTCCAATTTGTATGTCACGTAACAGCTTTTGTAGGATCTATTATAGCAGCATGTCTTTCCTGTGCTACATCCAGAACACAACCGGAGATTATGCTTACTCGTGTACATCAGCACCAGACTGAGAGATAAGGTGAAGCTCTGCTTCCACACGCAGGATTTTAGGACAGTTAGTGTAGCTAGCAGGTGGAGTAGAGCAGCACACAGGTGAGCAAGGCGAATACAAAGCCAACAGGAACTGACTTTGCATATAGATGGAGGGTGGAATAACATTAAAAACGATGGTGTAGGTCAGTGTGGAATGTGTAGTGTGGAAGCTTGATACTTGTTACCTGTCTTCTTGCAGGAGTGTTTGGTTGCCCAACAACTGTTGCGAATGTAGAAACGGTGTCTGTAGCCCCGACCATCTGCCGTCGCGGTGGCTCATGGTTTGCCACTTTCGGGAGAGAGAGGAACTCTGGCACAAAGCTCTTCAACATCTCCGGTCATGTGAATAACCCCTGCACCGTGGAGGAGGAGATGTCTATTCCGATGAAAGAGCTGATTGAGAGGCATGCAGGTATGCATTCGATCTCTAAATATAACAGACTCCTAACAGACCGCTTATACTGAAAGGTGCACTGGGATTAGGTGGATTGGCTATGCTAAATTACCTCTAGGTGTGTGTGTGTGTGTGTGTGTGTGTGTGTGTGTGTGTGTGTGTGTGTGTGTACATGGTGCCCTGGAATGGTCTGGCATCCTGTCCAGGGTGTATTCCCAGCTCATGCCTGGTATTCCTGGGATAAGCAGATCCACAGCAGCCTTGACTAGGATAAAGCGGTTACTGAAGATGAACGATGTATTTATTTCTTGAATCCTCCATCTCAAAGTTTTTAAACATTTGAAATCAGGTTCTCAGGGGCTTTACAGTAATTAAAGCCTTGCTGGGGACGAGACCACTCCTGATCTCCAAACCTGATCTGTTACATCGTGCGGTTGCTCTCAGTGACTCCATTTTTCAGACGCTTGATCTAGATAGCAACAGTAACCCATCGTTATTAATCTCAATAAAACGTTCCTGTCATCAGCTTTGGAATTTGCTGTAAAGGTGCAGTTAAGTGGTAACCTTAACCTCTGCTGCAGGTGGTGTCCGTGGAGGCTGGGATAACCTCTTGTGTGTGATTCCCGGTGGGTCGTCAACACCACTCATCCCTAAACACGTGTGTGAGGATGTTCCCATGGACTTTGACGGCCTCATACAGGCTCAAACCGGCCTGGGTACTGCAGCACTCATCGTCATGGACAAATCGGTGGGTGGTTACTGCTTAAAAAAAAAAAGTTAAAAGGTCTGTAACTTCATGCTGCAGTATTCGGCAGATTGTCCATGTAGGTGTTAGCCTGTATCAGCTTAAAAAT